TCCCATCACCATCTATCCCCCATATATCCTCTTCTACCTCCACCCATACCCCTCCCCACCCCCACAGTCACCGCACTGTTGTCCATGTCCATAAGTTCCTTCTCTGTTTTGGGGGGGTTTTTTGCTCAGTCCAATCACCACCACCCCAACATTCCGCCACTACCACCACCAGAGCTGTCTGCCTGCTTTCTATCTATGAGTCTGTCTCTATTTTGCTTGTTAGTTCAGTTTGGGCCCATTCGTGATACCCAGGAAGGCTTCAGGAAATTCAGTCAACAAATGTTTATGAAACATTTATGATATACTAAGTGTCACTCTAGGCACTGGCGTACATCACCGAATAAAACAACCAAAACTCCCTACTACTGTGGAACTTATTTCTAGTTTCCTCCCCTTCCTTTGTGGTGGTAGTTTCTGGGAGGAAAAATTGTGATTCCACCAAGCCTATCCAATAGTCTCACCCTAGATTCACATTCAGTTAATACTTACAAGTAACCATTCTCCATTACTTTAAAAGTACTTTTGCATTCAGTTATCTTATTCTTTAGAATGGTCCTAGGAAAAATTATTTTTTTAATCCTCATTTCACAGATAAGAAATCAGAAGCCTAGAAGTGTGACTTGCCCAGGGTCATTCATCTATGAGAAATTGGAGCCAGGATTTGAAGCCACACTTTCTGATTCAGATTCCCTGCTCTTTCCATAATGGCACTTGTAGCAAAAACACATGATGGCTTTTATTCATTCCACTGCCTATTTTATTTCAGTTCTACAAACATTAATGGAGCCCCTACTAAATACCAGATTCAGACCTGTCCTGGGAATGCAAAGACTGTTTAGTCCCTGCCCTGAGGAGTTCAGGGTTTAGTAGAGAAGACTGTTGGCACATAAGTAGGCATGCAGTGTGCTAAGTGTAAGGCTAGTGCTATTTATAGACACTTGGAAGCACAAAGGAGGGGCACCTAATCTAGAACAGGGTCAGGACATGTCAAAAAAGACACACAAGAAGAGATCATCTCTGAGCTGAGTCTAAAAGAGTGGCTTGGCCAGGGACAAGGGAGGGAATCTGAGCAAGAGAGATGCATGGCAAATGTAGAGAACTGTAGGCTTTTATTTTTATATAATTTTTTTTCTTTATGATTTTAGAGAGGAAAGGAGAGGGGGAGAGAGAGAAACATCAATGAGAGAGAACATCTATTGGCTGCCTCCTGCATGTCCCCCCACCCCCCACTGGGGATTGGACCCACAACCTGGGCATGTGCCCTGACCGGGAATGAAACAGGCAACCTCTTGGTGCATTGTTTGATGCTCAACCACTGAGCCACACCGGCCAGGCAAGAACTGTAGGCTTTCAGAGTTGCTGAAGTGTAAAGCATGAAGCAGGGAATGGCCAGGTATCAGGCTAGAGTGGTTAGTAGCTACCAGATTAAACTATATCCTACAGGCAGAACTCTTACTAGGACTAATGTGGTAGGTACGTTATGTTTGGTTATCCACCCAGTTCAGGCAGCTATGGCCAAAGCAGAAGAATTGCATGGTAAGGAATTGCTCAGAAGGGAGCAAATGGGCAAGCCATACACTCTGAGGTTCCCGAGTGGGTAATGTTGCTGGAAGGCTCAGGACATGGTTGGTCCAGCACAGAAGCATAGTAGAAGCCAGACCTAGCTTGGAGATAGTGAGTTTTTAGTGGCATCAAGTGTGTTTACCTATGTAGTCTTCCTGAACAGCTTGGTCATGAGATGAGAATTTAAACTTCAGTCCAGTTTTTATTTTGGATAGATGATAATTAAGAGAATGGAGGCTGTTGGTGATTGAATGGCTTCAGGTGATTGACCATGAAATCCAGGTTGGATAGAAAAGAAAACAGGGACAGGGAAAAATGGGGTGGTCAAGAAATGAGATTTCTGTGAAGTTGAAGAGCAGATGTATTGTGAGAAAGAGATCCATGGTCAGGAAGAAATGTCAGAAAGAAGAAGATTACTGTTTAAGATGTTTGAGGTCAATGGGGTAAAAAAGGAGAAACATCTGTAACAAAAATAAAATAAAAATAATAAATAAATAAAAATAAACACCAAAAATAAGATGTTTGAGGTAGAGATTCTCTGAATGATGATAACATCTAGGGTGTGGCCCTAGAAGTGGGTGGCTAGAGAGAAGGATAAGGATTTTGGAGTCAAGGAATTGTGAAGCTAAGATAGGAGATGGATTACTACCTGGTTATTTACTAGTACTATGGTATTAGGAGTTAAGAGATGAAAATATTGCAAACTAGGGGCTAACGTCCTTAATTAATAAAGGAAAGGAAAGGAGAGATTAATGCATGAGAACAGCAAAGAATAATAAAGGATGATAAATCAAGATGGTGTGAACCTCAGAGAATATGCTTTATTCCAAACTTGTACTTTATGGAATAAAATTATTTTATGGAATAATTGTTTGGAAGTTGTCATGATAAGCTTGGAAACTCCCAGAACCTCGGCCTGGGTACCACTGAATTTTGGGCAGGGGAGAATGAAAAACTTCCATTAAATAGAGCTCTAAGCTAAACTGTATTCTTAGGTAAAAACCATGTTTCAGTCATATCAGGAAGATGAAAAAATAGAATTTTGTATAACAGATTCTACTACCTCTATGAAATATCACTGGACTATCTTAAACTTTCTTTTATCTGTGTTCCTAAAACAACCATAAGTTCATGTATATAGTTATCAGATATATATTGAGCACTAAGTTTTAGACACTATGGTAGATATTCAGATAGATATATAATCTTATACTTAACCTCAAAAGCTTAAGAACCAATTGGGAGCAATAATTATACATTAATAACTAGATAAACCACCTTTCTAATCTTATTTTTTGCTACTCCTAATCATATGGAGCCAGACTAAATCTACTTAATGTGTACCCTGTGTGTTCTTACCTCCAGACCATTTCTCATTCTGTACTCCTCGCCACCCCCAAACCCAAATCCATTCTACCCTTCAGATCTAGCATACTCCGCTTCTCTGTATAACTTCTACTTATTTCCCCAGATGATGTAACCTCTTCTTTCTCTGAATTCCTGAAATCATTTCCTCTATACCTCTCTAAAATAATATTATGTTTAATCAATTCTAAGATGCATGTTTTTTCACTTTTTAACATCTCTGTAGATTACTCTTTTAAGATATACCCTGTCACCAACATTCTTAAAAGAATACAGGATGGTACTCTCTGATTTGGCTCAGCAGTTAGAGTGTCAGCCCTTGGACCAAGGGGTCATGGGTTCAATTTGTTAAAAAAAAAAATAGTTCAGAGAATGAAGACACATTAGGAATACCTGTTTATTTTTCTGGTTTCTTTCTAGGTACATGATGTACATAATAGGATTGTACATTCTTTCCCTATTAAAATTAGGTGTGGTCATGTGACTTTTGTCCAGTAAAATGAGACCAGAAGTGACATGAAGCTTTAACAGCTGCTACATAATTTGGCACATTTTTTTGTTTGTTTGTTTAATCCTCACCGAGGATATTTTTCCATTTATGTTTAGACAGAGTAGGAGGGAGGGAGAGGGAGAGGGAGAGGAAATATTTACTGGACACAGCTTCTACAAGATAATATTCATCTCAAGGTGATTAGACTCATTTTCCGTGTGTCAAAATACTTTGAATAACATTTTCTCAAGGCATTTGATGTACTTTTTAGATGACATGCTTTCATCTGCCAACAATCGGATTGTTTCTTGAAAACAGTGACCATCATCACTCATTCTTGTGTTTATTCTTTTATTCAACAGACTTTTATCAAAAGCCCATTATTTGCCAGGTACTAACACTAGGAAGATGCTCAAGGAACTCTAGATAGTTTGGTGGAAAGTGGCAGGAGGCAAGCAGGTACCAAAATCTATAAAGAACTTGGTTCTTCTTAAGTTTAGATGCTTCAGTAGTTTCATAAATGATACCTATTTCATTTTAAAATAGTTTATCTAAATTTAAAACTTAATTTTACAAATATCATATCCAACTTGATATAGACCAAGTCTTAACACTTTTGAACATACTACCATTAATATATTATTCTGTAGTGTGATTAACTTTCTTTTTAATCCTTCAATGCACTAAAAGTACCTTCTTGCCTTGGAGCCTTTGTACATTCTGTTCTCTTCCTGTTTTCCTTTTGTTTCATTCAGGAAATTACTGGATGCTATTTCTGCTGACACCTTCTTCAAAGAGTATATTTTTCTATATTATAGTGTTATGTTTTTAAAAATCTATTATTAGCCTGGCCAGTGGATTGAGGGTCATCCCATGGACTGAGAGGTTCTAGTTCAATTCTTGGTCAGGGCACATGCCAGGATTTCGGGCTCAATCCCCAGTAGGGGACATGCAGGAGGCAGCCTATCAGTGTTTCTCTTTTACATTAATGTTTCTATCTCTCCCTACCTTTCTTAAAAAAATCAGTAAAAACATATTTTAAAAACCAAAAATAAAAATCTGTCATTAGAGTTAGTTTTTCTACTTTTGCTAGTATAGAAGCTATTTAAGAAATAAGAAATTAAGTAGGGAAGGAAGATGGGGAGAGGGAAGAGATAAACCAAAGAACTGATATCATATATGCATAACCAATGGACACAGACAACAGTGTGGTGAAGGTGGGGGAGGGGGGTCAATGGGGAAAAAAGGAGGGATATCTGTAATACTTTCAACAATAAAGACAAATTTTTAAAAAAGAAACTAATAAAACAATGATTGGGGGAAATATTTTTCAAAAATAAAGGGGGGGATTAAGTGCTATCAAAAAGCTTATCTCAATTATGATAAAAGAAAAAAAATTGATTTCATTACCAAGTGGTTTTAAGCAACTATTATTTACAAATTAAAAAATTAAAAGCCGAGCTCTGTTTCTGGTCTTCATTATAAAAATCTGAATATCATTTGCAAAGGTAATGCAGCAGAGTGGAGAGAGCAGGGTTTCCTTCTGGTTCTCTGTCCCTTCACCTCTGCCTTTTCATTCTAGGGGTTCTTCAGCAAGCGCCTGAAAGGCTCCATCAAGAGGACCAAAAGCCAATCAAAGCTTGACAGAAACACGAGCTTTCGGCTTCCATCCCTTCGCAATACAGATGACAGGTAGGACGTTAACTTGCTTAAAACAGAAGAAGCAGTTTTATAGTGGGTTTTGATAAGGCATGTTGGTCTGCTCTAATTTTGTATCAATGACAGTTGGAAATATCCAATACAAAATTAACTTTTTTGTCTTGCTTATATTGAGGCAAGGTCTAAAATGTTGACTCAAATACCCAGCCAGTTTAAGAATCTTATAATATTGGAGAGTGTGTGGATACATGGTGCTGTTTCTATAGAATCAAGTTCTAGTGGTCAGAGATATCTTTCTTTTGTAGAATGACTTAACAAGGGATGATGATGGTGATAGCTGACATTTTTATGGGCACTATCCTAGATGCTTTATACACATTATCTTGTTTAATCTTTATAATAATCCTATAGATATTAAGTTAACCAAAAATGGTATTTGAACACTGGCAGTTCATCTCCAGAATCCGCTCTCTTCACTGCTATGTTGTTCTTTGTGTTCAGCATATGGAGTTGGTCTCACTGCTTTGCAGTGACATCTAGAAGACATGTATGAAAAAGCCTGGATTTCAATAATTAGGACTCCCAGCTTGAGTAAACCCCAGGTGCATAGCTTGCTAATGAAAACAACTTTCTAAAATCATTGAATATGTGCTAAGATGGATACATTTTTAATACTTCATATTCCATTATTAATAAATAAAATTTAGGAAATAGTGCTTTTTGTATCTTGACACATCACTGCCATCACCAGTATTGAGTGCTTACTATGTACCAAGCATTTTTAATATAGTCTCTCATGTAATACAACCCTAGATACTGCTATTACTATCCTCATTTTGCAGATAAAAAACTGAGGCAAAAGAGATTGAGAGATTTGCCCAAAGTCACATTTGAACTCATATCTGCCTTCATATTCGATCTCTTATTTATAGTTGAATTTCTTTTGTTTTGGTTATCTGCCTAACAAACTTCAGAAATAAAGATTATACTCTCTGTAATGGCATATTATAGACTTGCCAGGAAGAATTACTGTCCTTATTTTATAAATGAAGAAACTTGTCCTCCATACTGAATCAATAAGAAACTACTGCTTTATCTGCTCTTCTTATCCTTGAAACACATTAAAGGTGCTCTGTGAAATGTGCAAGTCTATTCAATTTGCAGTGTAATTGTATTGTTCATTATCTCTTTTATACCTCTTTGCATTAAGGTGATCTTAAAAAACTGATCTTTTTCTTCTCATATCTTTTCCTTAGATTCCTCTTATTCTGCAGCTTTCGTCATTGTAAGAATTTAAAGCATTTTATAAATGTTTTAATAAAATGGGATGACAAATTTTTTCAGAATATTGTTTTTTAAGAACAAGGAGGTTGTATAGCAACTAAAACACTCCCGGTTCAACATCCAGAATGTTAAGCTCTGCAGCATCCTGTGTAAACAGGGAGGACAAGGAGATAGTTTTTATAAGAGATATACTTTATTTTTTAAACTTGTACTAAATATCACTTTCTTATTTTCAAAATGCTCCCGTCTGTTTCATTTTGCTTTAGGTAGCCTACAGGAAATCTTGGATTGAATTACCAAAAGATTATATTCTCTAGAGTCTCTTATATTGCTACTATGTAGTCAGTGCCTTTCTAGTGATCCAAATTCATTATATGTGCCTTCCATGCTGTTCTACTTCAATCTAATAGTGTTTTTCTGTTTCAAATACAGCATAATAAAAAGGTACTAGTGCCCTGGCCGGTTTGGCTCAGCGGTTAGAGCATCCACCTGCGGTCCGGAGAGACCCGGCTTTGGTTCCCGCTAAGGGCACGTACCTCGGTTGCAGTTTGTCCCCGGCCCTGGTTGGTCGTGCGGGTGGCAGCCACTCGATGTGTCCCTTTCACATCGATGTTTCCCTCTCTCTCTTCCTCTCTCTCTCTCCCTCCCACTCTGTCTGTACAAAAAATGGAAAAATGTCCTCGGATGAGGATTAAAAAAAAAAAAAAAAGGTACTAGTAAGTCCCAAGTATTAGATAACCCTTTTTTTATTTGTAAAATCATTTGAATTATAAAGGTTTCCTATGCAGAAAATTTTTTTAACTTTATTTTTGTAGTATAGGGATGTGCTCACAAGGGTTTGAGATGTATTACAATTTTTTTAAAATAGATTGTCTTGCCTTTAGATCATCTGAAGACACAGATACATAGAATTAAGGTACAAGATATGAATCAACTGAGTTCTTTGAATTGGTACCTTACAGGTGTGACCAAAGCTTTTCCTAAGACCCCTGGTTTTCTAGGGTCATATGCATCAATTCCTGAAGTCAGACTGTTCCAAAATGGTGTATCGTGTCTAAATCTAAGTAGCCAAAACATTTCTATTCATAGAGCAAGTCTATAGAAACTCTGGATAACCCTAGTAAGCAACCCTTTTTTCAGCTTTTAAGTTATACAGTAAAATATGTATGTATCTTTGTTGTTGTTTTTTAAAAAGTTTCAATACATAAGTACAGCATAAAAAATTAAAGTCCCTCTTCACCTTCCCCATCTCCCCATATAAACAACCTCATTAACAATTTGTATATTTATAAACCACTTTAACAATCCATAAATAAATGCACACATATATGTGTTTTGCTTGTTTTCGTATACATGGGGTTGTGACTGACTTTTTATTACAAATACTTTGGACAACTTTATGTCAGTACATGTAAACTATATCATTCTGTTTAACAGCTGCCTTCATAGTATGCTACAGTTTTTTGTAACATACATACCTCATTTCTTTGTTGATTGATAATTAAATTTTTTCTCTTTTTTGACACAAAATAGAGCTGTAATGAACATTTTTGTCCCTATGTGATTGGGTCAAATTTGTGAAGTAGAACTACTAGGTATAGAGTATGCACTTACTAAATTGTTCTTCAAAAAGCTGTGTTAATTTCCATGACCACCAACAGACTAAGATCCTTTTATCTTTCAAACGCTGTTTGCATGTGATGGATATTATGGATGAATAGTAATAATAAACATGCATATAGTATTTACTCTGTGCCAAACACTGTTCTAACCATTTTACATAAATCAACTCATTTAGTCATCTCAGCAACCCTATGAGTTACTCTCATGACCTCATTTTGAAGATGAGAAAACTAAGACAGAAATTAGTAAAATTGCACAAGGTCACAGCTTAGGAAATGGCAGAACTGTGGTTCAAATCCAAGAAGTCTGGCTCTTACATTCTTAACCTTTACACTATGTTGCCTCTCAGAAAAAGGCTGGGGAGTGGGGGATTTCTTTGTTTTCATTTGTATTTCTCTAATGCCTAGTAAGTTGAATCTTTTAGCACATTTTCTTCAATGACTTGCCTATTCATTCCTTTGCTCACTTTTCTGTTAAGCTTTTTGTCCTTTTCTTATGATTTAGAGTAGTGCCTTATTACAGTAAGTCCTCACTTAACATTGATAGGTTCTGCAACTTTAAGGGAAACCACTTATAATGAAACCAATTTTATCATAGGCTAATTGATATAAACAAGAGTTAAGTTTTCGCAGCATCTCATCAACATTACAATGAAATGACATTGAACAAAATGACATTATTCGAGGACTTGCTGTAGCAGTAGGGATTGTAAGCCACTATTACACATGTTGCTAATATATTCTTCCAGCCTCTTTCTTGTATTTTAAAATCATGTCCCCCACCTGGAATGGTTTGGCTCAGCAGTTAGAGCATCGGCTTGTGGACCTGGGTTGGATTCCAGTCAAGGGCACTACCTTGGTTGTGGTTTGTTCCTGGCCCTGGTCGGGGTCTTGCGGGAGGCAACCAGTTGATGTGTCTCTCTCATGTTGATGTTTCTCTCTCTCTTTCTCTCTCCTCCTCCCACTTTATCTGAAGATATATGAAAAAATATCCTCGGGTCCTCATGAAAAAATGAAAAAAATGAAATCATGTTTCTAAATTATATAGAAGTTTTAGATTTTCATTTGGTCCAACATATCAGTCTTTTACTTTGTGGCTTATCTGGCCAAAACTGACCAGAACACTGAACTCAAGAAGCCAAAGACCTCTTTCTCATTCATTTTTCATTATGATGCTGTGCAAATTATTTTATCTCTCCCTTTAACAAGAGAAGGAAATATTCTATCCAGAGTTATCAGAGGATAATGAAGTAGTGATCAAGATATTTTGAATTCTCGAAAGTTTTTGATAACCACAAACCTTATCTACATTCATATTTTTTAAATAACCAATTATTCTCATGAGGTCTGACTTACTACTTTAAGATGACAGAGAAAAAGTTTTCAGTGAGTTTATTTTATCTAAAGAAGGTTTATATTTACGATCAGAAAGCTTTTTTTGTGCAAAATACCATTAGGGTATTTTAACATGCAGACTTCATTGATCAAAAAGACCCTAAGTGCTCCAGGTTTGCGTAGCCAGTAATCTGCAAGTTAAACTCCTGCTATAAGGCCCTGATGGAATTTGGTACCAATGTTGCTTTTTGGGTCAATTTATAATGATCCTTGAACTCAGAATTTTCTTTGTGAAATTGTGGGGCATAGGCATAAGAAGTGAAATTTTGCCAAAATTTGGACTGTGAGTTCAATCTTAAAAAACAGGTATAATTTGAATTTAGGAACGAATAGTCACAGGAAGAGAGCATTTCCTCAGAATCGAAATAATGAGCAAAAGCAGAGTGTAGGAAAGAATGGAGCTCAAAGAGAAATACTGAATATAATTTCAGGTATATAATATAAAGTGTTGAAGTAGGAAATAAGATTGGAAGGCAAAGTTTCAGTTTTTAAGTTAATAGGTAAGAGCCTTTCTGCTTCTTTTTTTTTAATCCTCACTCAAGGATGCTTTTGCATTTATCTTCAGATAGAGCAGGAGGGAGAGAGGGAGGAAGAGAGAGAGAGAGAAACATCAATGCGAGAGAGACACATCGACTGGTTGCCACCCACACAACCCCATCTGGGGCCGGGGACAGACTGCAACCAAGGTACGTGCTCTTAGCGGGAACCGAACCCAGGACTCTGATCCGTGGG